TCTTCTCCAACTGCAAAATCTAAGTCACAATCCCGTTTGTTCTCACAGTTTCTTGCTTGCTTACTAAGGTTCATTTGTGAGGAAATCTGTTATCTACTCTTACCACAGCTAGATAGTCTACTTCAAATATTTTGAGCACCAGCTGCCTCTGGCCTGAAAGATAAGCAAATTTGACTAGGCTCCAGTGTGTCTGAGAAAACTTTGTTTTCTACCTTGTCTTCCCAAACTCCTGTGCGGAGCCAGGAGGAGGGGCCCTCTTTAGGTAAAGTGTGACTTTCCTTTTGACTAGGATCAGATAGTCTGGGTACTTTAACCCTGACAGGAATGTGTGTTCTCTTGTTATTAATGATAGCTACCATTTCCCAAACACATCAACTTATTTAAGCTTCACAAAATCCCTTGAGGCCAGTTTTGCAGGGGGGTTGTAGGGGCATGAGGGAGGGTACACAAAGCATCAGAGAAATGAAGTGACTTACTTCAGTAAATCAGATAATATAGCCAGAATCTAAATTCGGTTCTGCCTGACTTTCAGCCTGACATGAAGGCCCTCATAAGTCACTAAGCAGGCTTTTGGAGGAAGCTCCAAGAGAATGCTAAGGCCCCAACAACTTTCTACATCCCTTGGGGCCCCAGAGAGCAGAGCTGGCTCTCTGGACCGCCTTCCCAGAAGCCCTTGCAACTGCCTAGCTGTGGGGTTAGGGCAAGAAGCTTCAGCCCAGGAGAGTGCAGTGCCCCTGGAGGAGGGGGCCGGTACTCTGGCCTCTGGTCCCTCACCTGACTGACCAGACCTGGGGGAGGGAGAGGTGCCAGGGAACTGTTAGGTAGAAGGGTGTCTGGGCACGCATGGACGTGGGCTGAGGTCAGTGGAGCGGCCATTCCTCACCCTCCCAGTTCCTGCTCTCCGTGCCGTCTCTGTGCCTCCCCCTAACCCTGCCTCCCCCTCCTCTGTGGCCTAGTATTGCAGCGAAACTCATCAATGGAGGTGTGGCGGGGCTCGTAGGGGTGACCTGTGTGTTCCCCATTGACTTGGCCAAGACGCGACTGCAGAACCAGCAAGGGAAGGATGTCTACAAAGGAATGTAGGTGTCACTGGTGGTGGTGGTGGGGGGTCACCTGCCAGGTTTCTTGAGGGAGTGATGGGGTGGGGGGTGGGAGAAGGCAGTCTACTGGGGTGTGCCCAGCAGGTTCTGGCCACGTGGGAAGGGGACTGATGGGAAGCCTCGCTCGCCACTCACTTGGCTTCGGCCGGCTTTCAGGGTCGACTGCCTGATGAAGACGGCGCGGGCCGAGGGCTTCTTCGGCATGTACCGAGGTAGGCTGTGCGCCCCTGCCAGCTGTGGCCTCGTGCAAACAGACGGTGGCCCGGGGCTGCAGACTCTGGGGTTTCTAGACACTGGGCATTGGGGTTCCTTTAGTCAAGGAATTCCCGGAATGGGGCCTGGCCCAGCTGAGCCCCATTTGCTTTGCTTATGTCCTTGTGTTCTTTGATGGAGACAATGGTTGTGGGTAAGTTTGGGGGCAGCGGTGAGCCCCAGAGTAGTCCCGGAGCCTGGGCCCCCTCCTGACACCACCACTGCGGGTGATTTAGGAATGGGCAGCTCTCTGCTCAGGGCGCCCAGCCAGCGGGAGAGGAGGGGAGCTGGCAAGGGCAGAGGAGAGGAGGGTTTGCTCTCCAGAGGGAGGTGCCGGGTGGGTGGGTGTCCGGTGAGTCACTCTGTGCCCCGGGGTCTCTACTGGGGCAGAGTAGCTGTCACCACGCCATGCAAATGGACGCCAAGCTGTGCTGACAAGGAGCTGATAAGCTAGATCTCCTGAGAGAGAAAACCAACTGGTCTGCATGGCCCCCAGCACCCCCTGGTGCCTGTGCGACTGGGTAGCACAGCAGCCACTGAACCCTAACCCCTGGCCCCCAAGACCTTCTTACTGGGGTTCCTTTGGAAACCTGTTCATTTATCGCTGGAGCTGGGCGAGGCCCTGGCAAGTATAAACATAACTGCCTGAAAAACATGCATAGCTGCTTGATTACTGCATCGACGAGCCTAGAGAGGAGACACAAGACAAAGGCAACATGCCGGGACCAGGGTTGAAGCAGGGAACTGAAGGGAAAATGTGGTTTGGAACAGGCAGAGGCCCCTCGGTGCTCGCCCCCAGGACCCCCTTACTCCCAGCACGGGTCTGGGGGACTAAGAGGAGGTTGTGTGGGGGGGGCGGCTCGGCAGTCTGCTGCTGAGGGACCTGAAACCTGGCCTCCGTTTGTCCCCTCCAGGGGCCGCAGTGAACCTCACCTTGGTCACGCCGGAGAAGGCCATCAAGCTGGCCGCCAACGACTTCTTCCGGCAGTGGCTGATGGAAGACGGGTAAGGCCACGAAGGGGAGGATCACTCCCTGCTTGTTGGTGGGTTTTTCTTTCTTAAGATGTTTTATGTATGCACCCAGAACTGAGGTGCAGGCCAGAGGTAGCGAGAGGATTCACCAGAGACCGAGCGGAGAACAGAACAGGCAGATGGACTGAAGTCCACTGCTGAGGGGAGCAGCCGGCGGGGGCAGGAGAGGTCTCCCGCAGCATGTGGGTCAGCTTCAGGGCCGGGGGATTGAACTCGCACTGAAGTGGCTGCAACTGGCTCACAGTGCTGCATCCTGACCCGTTGCACCACCAAGGAGGGCCACATCGGTGGGTTTTTACATCTGACTCCAACTTCCCAGCGCCATTTATTAAAGCCACGGCGTTTTGCTTCCCTGGGTGTCCTTGTCAGGGAACCGACAGTTCGTGGGAAACCTCTGGTCAAAGAGAGCCACCACATGTGTAGGCTTATGTCTGGGCTCCCCTTCTCTTCCATGGGTGTGTGCAGTTGCTCTGTGTAGGCACAAACGCATCCCTACAGTGGGTATGATGCTATTAATGTCAACTTTCGGGCAGGTGCCACCTGTTGTAACGTTAGTCTCATGTCTCTAAGGAGTCCAAGCCTTAGACACAGGTGACTTTTCACCCAGCTGATGGAGTGGCAGCCAGTGAGGACAAGGCTGGGAAAGTTCCATCAGCCAGGGCGGGTCGAGGGCCGGTGGGCAGCGGGGCTGCCGGGCACTGAAGGGTGCTGGTCCCACAGGATGCAGCGGAATCTGAAGATGGAGATGCTGGCGGGATGCGGGGCTGGAATATGCCAGGTGGTGGTCACCTGCCCCGTGAAAATGCTCAAGATTCAGCTGCAAGATGCTGGGCGCTTGGGTGAGGCCAGCACCGGGTGAGGCCCCCTTCGCGTGGATCAGAAAGGGCCGTGGTCAGAATAGACGGCTCCACATTCTGTGGGACCCACTTCCTAGGTCGGTAGAAGTCTTTATTTCAGTCACGATTCTAGATGTCAGTACTGCCAGCTTTGGACAGAGCAGGAATGAGATCTCGATTCGGGAAGACGGGGAATACTGACAGTGCCGTGACGTTTAGGCTTGCTTTCCTAACGATTTCAAGAAAGGTCAGCAGCGGCTCGCGACCATGCCACCAGGGGAAGCCCTGTTACACCACAGCATGTCCCAGCGGCCGGCCCCTCGTGGAGGCAGAGGGAAGCTGCTCCTGTGCCTTCAGTGTTCTCTAGAAGCTTGGTCCTTTCCTAAGTCCCGGTCCTCTGGAAGCAGAGGACAGGCACCAAGCACTGATAGATAGGCTTTTTTTTTTTTTTAAGATTTGCTTATGCATACAAGAACTGGGGTACAGGAGAGGCCTCCGGCGCCATGTGGTCACCTCCCTGGCTGGGGGTCAAACTCCTGCTGCAGTAGCTGCAGACAGCTTCATGGTGTTGCGCTTGATTTAACCTGTTGTGCCATCAGGGAGGACACCATACATAAATGTTAAAAATAAATAAATACATAAAGCCACGGAGGCCATGGTCGCGCCCCAGGAAGCATCCCGGACATCCAAGAATGTGCATGTTTCATCGCAGCCAAAAAATGAACCTTCTGAAAGTCGTCTTAAGTGTCACAGCACTTTTAGACTTTGCCTAGGCTTTCCAGTCCTCACTGCGAGACCCCTCATGGAAACAGAGCGCGGGGAAGGGTTCTAGCCGGTGCTGGCTGTCCCTGGCCGCCCCAACAACAGGAACAGGGTCTTGCGGTGCCTGTGGGGCCTGGGCTGTGAGGGGGTGTCCTTTCCCCCCAGTCGCCTCAGCACCCACCTCCTCCGGCTCCTATGATGCGGGCTCGCTGCCGTCCCCCTCCAAGCGCCCGTCCGCCACCCTCATCGCCTGGGAACTGCTTCGCACACGCGGCCCGGCCGGGCTCTATAAGGGGCTGGGTGCCACTCTCCTCAGGTGAGGCTTCTGCCCCAATTCGAGACACAGAAAGGGCCATGAACGGGGTGGGGGGGGCCTCCCATACACCTGAGGACTTGCAGGCTCCTTCTCTGGTGACAGCCCCGAGTACTGGGTGTTCTGTGCCCGAAGGCGCCTGACAGTGCCTTCTGCGACGGACCGCGGACGGGTAAACCAGTAGACCAACCCTCTCGTGCCAGTCGCTGCTGCCTGGCCCAAGCCCTTCAAGCTGGCCAGGGCAGCCCAGCCCGGATGGTTCTCTCTAGAGTGGGTGAAGAGTGTAGATGTTGCCTCCACGCACGCAGCCCTTAGTCAGAGCTCTTCACCAGTCACCGCTCGCAGCTGTACTCACACCTTAGCCAGCCTGCCCCCTTGAATAAACAGTCCCCTGGTAGGACAGCCGTGGGGGAAGGGGAGAACGGGGACACTTCTGCTTCCCTTCATGTGGTCTCTGTGCCGTGTTATCCCCAGGTGCAGAGCGGGAGCACAGCACTGTGGACTTGCCTCTGACTTGTCTGGTGGCTCTGTGGCCCCTAGGAAAGGGGGCATCAGTGGAGGGAAGGGGGTTCGGGGCGGGCGCCCCAAGCAGCACGTGGCTCAGTGTTCCCTCTTCCTCCTGCAGAGATATTCCCTTCTCCATCATCTACTTCCCGCTGTTTGCCAACCTTAACAACTTGGGCATCAACCAGCTGACCGGGAAGGCCTCCTTTGCACATTCCTTTGTATCAGGCTGTGTTGCAGGCTCGGCAGCTGCTGTTGCGGTCACGCCCCTGGATGGTGAGTGCGCGGGAGGGGCTTCAGGAGGTGGCTTGCTTTGTTTACAAATGAGGCCTCTGTCTAGTTGTTATTGCTTAAATTCTTTTTTTTTTTTTTTTGTAGAACTGGGGTGTCCCACGGAGGTTTTGGGGGTGAGCAGATTCACCAGAGACAGAGTGGGGAGCAGAACAGGCGGATCGACTGAAATCCACTGCTGAGGGGAGCAGCGGGTGGGACGGGGAAGTTGGTTGCCTGTGGGTCACTCCCGGCTGGGATCGAACTGGGACTGTGATGTTGATAAGGCTGAGACTGAACCCCCAGGCCAAGAGATAATTCTGTATCTTAAGAAAGCCTCCCCAACCTGAAAATCCTCTTGGGTCACAAACTGTGGCCACCGGCAGAAACGCATAAAAGGTCCTCACAGAGAAAGCGGCCACGGGCCCTCTCCTCACCTGGTACCTTTCATCATTCTTGCCCACCTCCAGCCCAGCACCCCCTCCCACACACCCCCGAAGCTGTGAGTGACAACTATAAATGACTGCTGATTTTTAAAAATGTGAAGCTGAGCAAAGTGTGAGAAGACGACGCTGCGGTCTTTGGCCCTCGGCTCCGAGGGACCCAGAGGGCTGCGCGCTTCCTAAGTTTTTCCTTAAATGAGGCCCAAAGAGGGGGTGAGCTTTCATTGCAGATGGCACAGGCAGAGCCGGCCACAGGACTGCTGGGTGTGCTGGCTGTGGCGGGACACCCGGGCACCTGTGCTCAGGCCGCCCCCAAGGGCTAACTTGTGCTGTTTACTCTGGCTTCAGTCTTGAAAACGCGAATCCAGACCCTGAAGAAAGGCCTGGGTGAGGACAGCTACAGCGGGGTCACTGACTGTGCCAGGTGAGTCCATGTCCGCTGTAGGTCACGGAGGGACAGTCCCCTCCGCGCTGGTGTCTGCTGACACACGCCAGCAAAGTTTTGTTATTGACCAGTCCACTCCGCACTTTGAAGTCAGCCCCTGTCCTCATCTTACAAGTCTTGAGAGCTTCGTTCTTCTTCCTTGCGTCCCTACAGCGCCTTTCTCCCGGTCTAGCCGACCAGAGACGAGGCCAGTCTTGTGTGCAGGCCGGCTGAGCGCTGCATGCACCCCCAGCCCCTGCAGTGTGACCCCTGCTCAGGGGAGGGCCGGAAGGTGGTGAGGCCACCACAGCCTCTGCCGCTCAGCTCACTGGGCTCTGCTTTCTCTTCAGGAAAGTCTGGCGTCAGGAGGGACCAGCCGCCTTCATGAAAGGAGCGGGCTGCCGGGCCCTCGTCATAGCCCCCCTCTTCGGCATTGCCCAAGGCGTCTACTTCCTCGGGATAGGGGAGCGCATCTTGAAGTGCTTTGAGCAGATGTAGTGGGGCTTGGGCCCTGCACCGGCCGCCGTCTCTTTAGCCCAGGACTTCCAGAAGCCCCTAACAACACAGTGAAAATAGCGTTTGCCCTGGTTTTATTAACCTCAGCTCAGCCGGGCCGTGTGGGCCCTAATGTGTAGCGCTACCTCACCTCCGAAGAAACCACCACGCCCTAACAAGCAGGCTGGGAGGCCCCTGTTCTTCCTTCATGGCTCTGCATTCGTTTCCTTCGGGGCTGGAGCTACCAGCGACTTCCAGAAGCCCTAACAAGCTCCTTTCAGTCTCAGTGAAGATCGTGTCAGCCTTGTATTCACCACAGGGACTTAACAGTAAAGAGAAGGGGGGTTTCTACATTTTACATTTCTGCTTGACACACAAACCTAGTATACTTGAGTCAAGTTGAGAGTCTTGTTTTGTTAATTCTGATTTCTGTAATTTAGGGTTAGCCTTTGTTGACTTGGGTAATAAAGGGAGGATCAGGGGAGCAAGGGCCCGTGAGAGCCCTCAGGGTGCCTAGTTTGAGAGCAACTGAGTCCTCGCCAGGGCAGCAGGGCTGGGCCCTCCCACGGGCCGAGGACACTGTCCAATCCAGCCAACCTGTGGGAGTCTCGCCTCGTTAGTGGGGACATCAGTGTGTCCTCAGCTATTCTGTGTCCATTTCCCATTCATGAAGCCAGTCTCTATTGGTGGAGAACAGCCAAAGGGACATTCACGTCTTGATCCAGTCATTTCATGATCCCATCACCGAGGAACGCGTTTGCTGTCTCAGCGCACCCAACTCCTTCCCCAGAAGGCTGCTCTAGCAAGGTGGGACCTCATACAGACCTGGGGTCCTGTCCAGAAAGACCTGTGTTTACGTTAGCCCCACCTAGAACTGCAGTGAATGAGAAAAGGGCAGCCTCGCTGTCTACCTGGAGCAGGGCTCTGGACACAGACCTAAGGTCAAGTTCCACTTAGTTGCTGCAAGACCTCAGGCCATCTCAGTGGTCATCAGAGAAGCAGAAGAAAGGATTTATTCAGGCCTAACACCGGTAACTCCTCTTAAGATACCCAGTTTTTCCAACTCCGCCAAAGCTAATAAAACTATTTCTTCAATAAAGCTGTCAAACCCGAGAGGACACGGGTAATACTGGACACCTGCCTGTGTGGTGTGTGCATCACAATCGCGAGGGGCGGGAGGGCGTGAGGCTAGGGCAGGGTCTGGGTAACGTGAGCAGGAAGCGCCGGGGAGGACACATGGCTTCAGGATCTGGCAGCGGTCGGCCCGCAGATGCCGCAGGGAGTCGGAACATGCTTTCTAGATACCTCGGTAAGCACTGACCTCGCAAGCCACAAACGCACAGTACTTTCGCATAATAATTTGCAGTGAAATCCACATAAACCTTTTAATAAATAAAGCATATTCGTGGCTTAGAATTTAAATCACATTTACAGATGAGGAAAACGTCTAGGCCCAAGCAGGCAGCAGCGCAGCTACGGCTGCCGGGAGGGTGTATGCCCACATGCAATTGTAGCCTAAGGAGACGTAACAGTGGTGAACACCAGACCCATCACCCCCTACACTGGGCAACCGGAACCAGAGGACCAGCAGCCTTGAGTTTCATGCAACCACCATCTGGTCCCCTCACCTTGATGCTGCGGAAGCAGGCGAAGGTCGGGTAACTTTCCGTCAAGCCAGAGGTAGGTTTCCTGACCTTATTAAGTGAAACTTTCTCTCATTGTTAATTAGGCCAAGGGCATTAGCTACAGAAAGGTATCCACTGATAAATACAGGATATCAGAACAGCAAGGAGGAAATGACAGAGATAATCTTGTTTCTTCAAATACCAGAAACTTCCATATCATAGTTGTAGAGCAGTGGACGAGTTCCGCCTCCCACAGGTTTAATCCAGAAACTTCCTGTTGGCATTTGCACCAAACAAGGCTCCCCGTACTTCTGGCATCATCTGTGAAGAGATAAATTCTTTTATAAATAAGCACTGTTGGCTGGAGCACCTGGAAATGATGGCCAGTCACTGAGAACTCCCAGAGCTCAGTGCATCACGCCTGCCCTGGACCAGAAGCCTCGGTGAGAAACTGCCAACTGCAAATCAGTGGTTAAGGCTGATTCTAAAAGGCATAAATTAAAAAACCTGAAGAGCTACAGTTATTGTCTGAGTGACACAGGAAGCGAGATCAGTCCATGAACGACATCACCTCACCGTACTGCGCTGGGCCCTGTCCGTCCGTCAGCGACGACCGCGTCCACTCTGTCAAGCAGGACACCTACAGCGCCAGCTGTGTGAGCGCTCAGGTGGCTCCTGTAGTCCTTAGGCCTCAGCCTCAAACTCCGGGGCCACTGTCCAGCATGCAGCTCCAGCCACATGTGGCTACTGCACGTGGAACGTGGGCAGCGCGCTGGGCGGTGGCGCTAACACTCAAGCTTGGCCGTAAGACGGCCAGTGGGCCAGTGCCGCTGGCTCCGCCCTGCGAGGAAGCCCGGCACTGCGACAACTGGATTCTACTCGTTTCCTCGACTTTATTTCTCACACAGTGAAACACCCGAAGCAGCAGATGTTTCAATCCCTTTAAAAATGCATCTGCTGTGGTTCCCACCGTTCTTGCTGGGGAGCTCTGGCCAGCATCTCCGTGTGGAGTAAAACCTAAACACTGCAATGCTAGACAGCCCCACCTCCTCCTCCTCGTAAAGGCATCTCCTCGGGAAAGGCCTGATCCCCATGCCTTTCAGCAAATGTCAGAGATGCTGAGTGACAGATCTCAAAAACCAGCGAACAGACTTGCAAGTTCTCTGTGCAACTGCAGTTCCAGATGAACTAATGAGACGCACTCCCACGCTCACCTGCTGGGCTATGAGGTCCAGCCGGCTCTCGAGGGTATTGGAAACCTTTATTTTACGGTCCCCGTTACAGATCTCAACTCCGCCAGCTCTGAAAAGAACACAGGAAATAACAACTTTTAAAGATTTGAGGAAGCCCGACACGCGGCACTTTTACCCCACTCCCGAGAGTCTGGTGTGTGGGGCCTCGGGGCCGCGAGGGGCCAGCAGACAACAAGGCTTGACGCTGACTCAGGAAGCTGCTGAGGGCGTCAGACATGCGCGCTGTAACCTCACTCGCCAAGTGGCGTGGCGCCACCCTACCTGAGAGCACACTACCGTGCTCTCCCCAGAGCACGGAAAGAGGAAGGCCGGAGGTCCAGTTTGCAAACAAGCAGGGAGGGAGCTCTCACTGGACTCCTGGAAGGTGAGATCCCGCTACTCATCAGGGAGCCGGCGGCTGCGCTTCGGGGCTCACTGCGGCCCTAGCCACACCCCACGGCCACCCCAGTCCTCCAGCAGGGCTCAGAGCCATCACGGTGGTCCCCAGGGACCACGGTTCTACTGATGCATTATAATTTTGGCAAACATTTCTCCAAAGAAGCAGCTGTGAGAGAAAGGTTGTGAAAGGCCTGGTGAATTTTCTTTGGAAAATGATCACAGACTCCGAGCTTAGTGGTATTTTCTTCTTCCATTTCCCTGTGAGCCTCCAGGGTGCTTCCTCTAACAGTGTCCTTCCTACGGGCACAGTCCGTCCTCCGCTGAAACCCTGACCCGGGCTGTGACACGAAGCTTCCTTTCCGGGGCCGGCAGCGGGACAGGAAAGCACCGCAGTGAGAACAGCGCCCGTGCGCCAGGCAGCAGGGCCACAGGCCAGGGGCTCGCTATGGCTGCCGGCGGCCCTGAGACGCTCGGCACCCGCGCCAGCCTACAGACAAGGGAACGGCTAGCAAGGCTGAGCAAATGGGTGCATTTGTATAATAAAATGATAATATTAAAAAATCCACTTTAGGCCATCCCTGGTGGCGCAGCGGGTTAAAACACAGCACTGAGAAGCTAAAGCCACTTCCGCATGAGTTCGATCCCCGCCTGCCCTGGAGGAGACCACATGGCGTGGCAGACCTCTCCTGACCCGCCCGCTGCTCCCCTCAGCAGTGTACTTCGTCGATCTGCCTGTTCTGCTCCCCACTCTGTCTCTGGTGAATCCTCTCACCCTCCTCATCTCTGGCCTTTACCTCAGTTCTGTATGAATAAATGAATAAATCTTTAAAAAAAAATCTACTTTAAATTGCACTGGAATAAGTTCACAGTCATTTATCTGCAAGTCTGAAATCCAAAAAGCACCGAGAACAAGTCTAACTCATGTGGCTCCAAACTCGCTTTTTAGTCCGCTGGCAGTAAAGGACGATCAGGTCCCTGTCCCCTGCAGTGTGACTATTTCTGTGTCCATTCAGAAGCAGCACTCTGACTGTGGGGGCTGAGGGCTCCCCTGTGGGAAGTATTACGTAATATGTGGTACAGACCCATCTTGCTCCCCATCTAATCAGAGCATGAGTGGACCCAGCTTTGAGTCTGGGTACAGAACCGGGGCCACGTCTCTGCCGCGGGAGCTGGGCGCACAAGCACATCCGATGGCTGACAAGAGAGAACCCTAGAGTGCTGACAGGTGCAACAGCTGCAGGTGCACAGCCAGGCCCCCTCGCGGCCGACAGCCAAGGAGAAAGCCCACTCTGCAGGCCCCGTGTCACGCCAGGCTCCCTGCCAGAGAAGCTGCACGCTGAAGGCAGAGCGCTCCTTACATGTCCTCAGGCAGGTAGGCCTCCTGGTCAATTTGAACGTCAACATCTTTCTTAGTGGCGATTTTGTACATAGGGATTGCTTTTTGCACCGCTGCCTGGAAAAGCAAAAAAAAAAAAGATAAAAGGTTGCAGCAAACGAAACCTACAAGCAAGGATGGTCCCATTTATTTCAAGGAGAATAATCTGAAATGGGGAAGGGTAGAGGTGGGTTTTCAATGCCATTAGTGCTGAAGTCCTGTCTTAAACAATGTTGTGTCTATTCTGGTAGACACAGAAGCTTGACTTTTTCTCTGACAGCTTTATTAGTTGACCAGATTTGCCCATGTCCTCAACCCTTACCTGCTCCTCAGTCTAACAGCACCGGTTAGATCTGCCCGCTGACTTGGGCTCTGACACTGTTAAAAGAAAAAAACCAGCGTCCTCTAGAAAGGGCTAGCCGGCAGCTCAAGCCTGCCACGGGACGGCCGTCACCTTGCTGGGTTCCCTGCTAAGTCTGGCTGTGTCTGATTCGCTAGGGTGGCAGCACAAATGTGGATCGGATGACTGACACGCTTATAAATGAAATCCTAATTTGTGATTTTATATCGGAGGGGCATGACACCCGTGTCCTCTGGCTGGCACACTGCTTCCCAAGGGACAAGTTACTTGGGGAGATAAAGCATAGTAAAAATGCAATTATGTACTGTAAATGTGCTAATTTATAACAAGAAGTAGAACTGCTAAGGGACTAAGCACCCACACGCCTGCATGAAAACGAGAATCTTCTGGAAGAATCTGAAGGGCAGCGTGGCAAAACAGCATGAGCGGTCCTCCCTTAAACAGAACCTAGGGAGCACCTCACATTTGCTCCTGGGGCTGCAGTTACACTTTTACAACCACCAACCTCCTCTCCTCCGCTAGGATTAGGAAGTTCAGTCGGCCAGAGCCACGCCTCGGTAGTCTAACAGCAGCCTGCCTCGTAAGGGACACTGCCTATCTGCGCTCTAATCTGCGTAAGCTGCTTTGACTGTGGACTCTCAGATGAGGGCCTTCCCAGAGAGGGAGGGAGTCACCAGAAGGAGGGGACTAGTCCAGACGGCAGCTTGAGGCTCTTGCAGAAACTGAGGTGTCACTAAACACTTAAATTAATACCTAGTGTGGATTAAGAACATTATCTGAGCTGTGAGCTACTCGAACATATTTTATTCTTGGTGCTTCAAAATGCTAATTAAAAAAAAAGATCTCTGAGCACTTTACCTTGACCAGAGGGAAGTCCTGTTTCCTGCAACGAACAATCATTCGGGGCTCCAGCAGCTGGTACAAACCCTGGAAGACGCAGCAGATGCAGTTAGTACCAATGTAAGCTACAGATAGGGCACCAACAAAATAAAAAGTTTCTAGATGTTTTCATCAGATTTGGGAAGTATCAGAAAGTTCCCCTGCAGGCAACACATCTATTATGAGAGCAGGGAAAGATTTTGATGTCAGAAGCCAGATGAACATACCCAATGGTGGTAGAAACCGAATTTACATGGGAGCTTCATCTTACATCAAAAGGGTGAGATATTGCAGCTGAGCAGTAAGCAATTAAGAATGTACAGTGTTTGGGTGGAACCCCAAAAATCTCTACTTTGGTAATTATTTGCTCTAAATTTATTTTTCTGAACCTCAAATTAGGCAAGTTTAAAGTTGGAGGCCGCAAGCCCCTCTGACCCCTGACTCGTAAAGGGCTCATACGACTATAACAGAGACTGCTAAGCCTCAAGTGGGCCACCCGCACACTCCCTCAGACCGCATACATTTCTCCAAACTGAGGAAAATAGCAAAAGGAAAACAGCTAAGGTGAAAAAATTGGTAAAAAGGGCTGAGGCCTAGCCTGTCGATTCTGTACGAGCTGTAGCTATAATGGCAGAACTGGCCAAGAAGGTACCTGTAGCACCAGCCCATCCAGCAGCACTTGGTACCTGGTTGTATCTTTTACCACTTTGCTGAGTCTCTGTTTCGCTTCCGTTAGTAGGTCCTACGAAGAGTGGAGAAGACAAAGTTATACCCTGACTATCTAGATAGTCAGCTCAGAAGCCACCAGGTGGCTGGCCCTGCTCCCTGCCCAATTACCTCATGCTCTGCCACAAATTGGTAAAAAGCCACATTCAAGCCACATTCTCTGAGGTGTAGGGCAGACCCAATGCTGTGTTATTATTTTACATGTTACTTAAAATGGACATCTTTCCCCAAACAATATACAGATTTGAAACCATCCCTATCAATATTCCAATATTCTTCATGGAAATGGGGCAAACTCAGTAAAATTTGGACTACAAAAGACTCCAAGTAGCTAAAGCAATTCCAGTAAAAAAGATGGGCAATATTATGTTCCCACACTTCAAATTATATTACAAAGTCTCAGGAATCAAAACACTGTGGTACTGGAACAAAAATACATACACAGAACAGTGAATAAAATCTAGAGCTCAGAAATTCATACTTACATGACAATTCACAACACAGGAACCACAAACATGAATGGAGAAAGTGTCTTCAAATGGTGCTGAGAAAATTGTACAGATTACATGCAAAAGAATTAAAGAAGACCCCTGAAATACCACACACAAAAACTGATTCAAAAGTGATGAGAGACTTGGATGTAAGACCTGAAATCAAAAAATACACAGAAGAAAATGCAGGTGAGACACCTCCCAGCCCTGATTTCAGCAATGCCACCAGGGGCTTGACACAATAGCAAGGAAAACAGAAGACAAAATAACTGAACAGACCACGTCAAGTTGAAGAGCTTCTGCACAGCAAAATAAACTATCATGGAAACAAAAGGACCCCTCAGAAAATGGGAGAAAATGTCTGCACATCAGACATCAAGAAGCTAATACCTGAAATTTATAAAGAACTCACAACAAGAAAGCTGGTTGAAAAGTGGCAAAAGAGCTTCAGTGACACTTCTCTAAAGACAACACACAGATGGTCAACAGACACATGAACAACTGGTCATCGAAACTAGTTACCAGGAAACTACACATCAAACCCACAACGACATACCACCTCACAGCTGTGAGAATGGCCCCTATTTAAAAAAACAAACGAACAATAAGATGTATTGTTGAGTGATGTTGAGGAAAGGGAACCCTTGTGTGCTACTGACTCATCCAGTCTCCATGGAACAGTGCAGAAGTTTCTCAAAACATTAAATGTTCCAGCAAGCTCTCTCCAGTATCAGTACAAAAGAGTAATTCAGAGATAAGTATGCTCCGATGTTCATAGCAGCACAATAGCCAAGTTATGGAAACAACCTAAGTGCCCCGTAACAGATGAACAGATAAGAGGTGGTACATATACACAAAGGAATACTACTCAGCTGTACAAAAGGTGAAAACTTGCCCCCTTTTCCTTAATGGAACCACCATTCTCCTAGTTAACAGATCTGAAATTCAGTTGCTAGGGCTGAACTCTCTCTTCTAGTCAACAACGAGGAGGCATCCCCGTTAAGCCTGGACCTCTTCCATAACACTGACAGCCCTACTCAGGTCTTCCTGCACCATGTGTGATCATCTGTAATAAGAACTAAATCTTAGAATATTAGCTTATATTTCTTTAATCATCTAAGAAAACGATGTGTTTTCCATTATTCAAATGTTGTTGCTTTTTCATTTAGTTTTATTCATTTCCATATATTCCTAATAATTTTGTAGCTATCATAAAGCTGTTTGGTTCCTGAATATAATTCAAACACCTCTAGGCTTTCTCAAGAGAGGGATTTCTGCCCTCTTCATTGGGTGACAATATTTCCCAAAAAGTTTGAGCCTAATCTCTTCTGCTAGTTAGCCTATGTGTGCATACTTTGCACACTATGATATTACCCACAAAATAAAACAAAAACCTCAAGGGCATTCTATTGAAAATGGTAAAGCTGTATGATCTTGTGATCACGCAGGTTCTATTAGGTCAGAAGATTCTTGAAGACAGAGAATGTATCTTTTTCATTTTTGTATTTATTACAATACCTAGTATAACGATTTGCTGACCAAATGTTTTCCCTCTAAAATCAATGCCTTACTAAGATGTTAACTAGTGAAATCTGTATAAAAAGTAAATAAGGGCCTCCCTGGTGGCCCGGGGGTTAGTCTTAGGGCTCTCACCTCTACACCCTGAGTTCGATCCCCAGCCAGGGAGCTGGCCTACATATGGCACAGCCGACCATTCCTGTCTAGCCTGCTGCTCCCCTCAGCAGTGTAGTGAATATCTGTAGACTGGCCTGTGCTGCTCCCTGCCCTATTTCTGGTGAATCCTCTCATGTTCGCCACCCCTGCCTCTGGCCTACATACCAGTTCTTCTATGCATAAATAAGTAAATAAATCTTCTTTAAAAAAAGACTTTAAAAAAAGCAAATGAAGAAACACTGTATAATTTTATAACCAGCAGGAGCTAATACTCACTGTAATAAGGTCATCTCTTGCTCTGAGGACTTTGAGTCTTGCTTGATTCATCAAATTGGACATTTGACTATAAAAGGTACAGAAAACATAGTGTCAGCACAACATAAAAAATAAAAATGTATAGAAAGAATAGAAAGCTTCCTTTTTATGTACAAATACTTTTCTAATGATCAAGACTCACCAACATGCATTTGCAGTTTGCTCAGATAACGACTAGATGGTCCAATTAGGGCCCAAACCCACATATGCTCAACTCCAAAGCACCTGTTGTTCTGTCCCATTTAAAGCTTCCTTGGGTGGGCAGGGGGGTTTTCCCTGGTGGCACAAAGGGTTATGTCTCAGCACTATCAAGCTAAGGCTGGCCACTGTGGCCAGGGAGCTGACCCACATGGTGCAGCAGACCTCTCCTGTCTCACTCGCTGCTCTCAAGCAGTGTACTTCAGTCAGTGTGCCTGTTCTGCTCCCCACCCTGTCTGGTGAATTCTCTCGCCCAACACACCTCTGGCCTACATCCCAGCTCTTGTATGCATGCATAAATAAAATGAACCTTAAAAAAACAAATGAAAGCTTCCTTAGCCTAATACTGTGACCAAATCTACTTACATTTTCTTCTGCTGCTCAATCTGCTTTTCTTTCTTCTCATAGTACTCCATAATCTTCAGTCTCTGGGTTTGTACCAGACGACCCTTCTCAATGTTGAACTCTTCTTCTGCCTACCGGGGAGGCAACATTAACTCATTAGACCAGCTTTTGATAACCAGTTTTGTTTAAGAAGGTGATACACCTTATTCTGTATCTAAAACAGGAAACAATGTCCTATCAATTGTTAGACTATATAAGTATATATCTTAGTGGGAGGCAAACAGTGATAAATCAAATAGCTCAATGTTTCTTAAGAGTTTTAGCCCTACACCACCAGCCACCAAGAATTTAGGGCACTATTGGTAAGTAACAAATGTAACAACAATAGAATAAATTCAAAGATAATAAAAATAAAGTATTATACTGATATATTCTGGTTATAATTTAAAAGCAAGCCTTAAAAATGGCTATCATGTTTATGATTACGGAAAAGAAGAATTTCATTAACTGTATATATAAACAATGTATAACTGGAAATAGCTATAAAATTTCTAAATGCTGAATGAGTATGATCTTCATAATGCACAAGGTCTTTCCTCAATGGTATATAACTCCAAATTATTGTTCTTGCAGCAAGCCCATATTAATAAAATAACAAAAGAAGAACAAAATACTTCACCTTTCTCTAACTAGCTGCCAAAATTAGCCTTTGGTACTAAATTGAATTTTGGATTCATGCAAAAATTATTTTTCAACTCTGTACCACGAAACTCCAGAACACAAATTGGCAATTAGAACATTTAGAAAGGAAATTTTATTTTTAATGCTAAAAATAAGATATTTTCATTAATCCCATGCAATCCAATGTTAATCTTACCAGCTGTTTTAGCATAGCAAAGCAATATTGAGTTTGGCAACTTCTTAACCCTGGAAAACAGAATCTCACCTTGGCATCTATTTCTTCTGCTTTCTCATTGGCTTCTTGTTCAATAAAAGCCATCATATGCTTAATCTACAAAAAAAGAGATTTTATTTTTTAATATAATTAGAAAAAAGTTATTTATTGGGTCTCACTCCTCAACAATCAATCATTTAGTGAAAAGTATAACTGGTGCCAGGCACTCTCTAGAAGGTTAGATGAAAATTTCTGTCCTGTGGTAACTTATAATCTGGAATGTGCTCTGGTAAGTGGGCCTGATGCATTATTCAGTAATACAAGTAAATAGAACATTATCTTTTTTTTTTTTTGGCTGCATCTACAGCAAGAATGAAGATCATTCTCAGCAATCAGGTTGCTGACATTCCAGAAAATGCCGACATCTCCCTGAAGGGTGGCACTGTCACTGCGAAGGGCCCCAGAGGTACCCTGAGGACAGACTCAGTCACATCAATGTTGAACTCAGTCTCCGTGGAAATGAAGAGCCCCCGGGTTCACAAATTGCGGGGAAATAGGAACTGACTACAATTCCCACTATCTGCAGTTGTAGCCAGAACGCCACCTGGAGGCCCACTGGGCCTCAGTTACAAGGTGAACTCTGTGTCTTCTCTTCCCCACCAACACACTTAGGAAAATGGGTCTGTGCTGAAAGCCAAAGTATCTTGGGTGAAAAATATATTTGCAGGGTCAGGTGAGGTCAGGTGAGGCCACCTGTTTCTTGTTCACTATGTCAAGCCCAGAAAGAAGAGTTAATTCTTGAAGGAAACTACATTGAACTTGTATCAGTTTCAGTGGCTTTGATTCAACAAGCCACAGAACTAAAAAGAAGGATATCGGGAAATCTGGGGATTGTATCTATGTTTCTGAGGAAGGGGCAGTTCAGGAAGCTGATGAGTAAGATTTATGTTGACCAATTACAGAAACAGTGAGATTTCTGAGTAATTGCTCAGACCTATTTGTGACATATCTTTAAGATGCAATAAAAGTTATGATTGATTTTGGGAGGAAAAACAGAACGTTACTCTACTCTCCTTCACCCTGCAGCCAACCTGAGCTCTCTTCTCCACTCTAATCAACAAGCTGCCTGGATTAATTTTTCTACTTACCTCCACACTCAGCATACTTTGCTCTGACTTCTACCCCTTCCTCTCCAGAGTGGCAGTGACAACTGTATGTCCTTGACCTCCAATGTTGGCCTTTCAGCATCTTCCCGTCTGCCCAACCCTCCCTTACTGAATAATCTCTTTCCTTGCAACCAAGACTGCTTTGTTCCCCTCCTCAGTCTTCTCTGGGACCACAGTGCTTCCAGGTCCATACCATTCTGCACCCCTAAACATTAGGAATAAGTGGAACTAAACTGGAACTGTGGACTAGCATTCCCTTTTCAGGACTGGCAACTCACTGAATCGCACCCTGATTCTCTCCTTACAATTAACCACTCACAGCTTCACCTGCATGCTTGGGAACTTGGAAAACTGATGGTTACAAAGTCTGTATCTCTGGGGGACAGGAGCATCAGAAACAAACAGCTGCAAGTGCTGAGCAAACACCTGCTGGGAAAGTCACACATGACTCCTCCTGGGACCCGGAGCTGGGAGCTGCAAAGCCTTGACTTCCTTCTCATTCCTTGCCCCTTCTAAAATTCCAGCACTTTGGGGAGCAGGTTGTTTGGGGGTGCCTACCCCACCAACTACCATGATGGGCCATCTCAAATACAACTTCTTCATGTGAGGGCAATTTTTATGTTTCAGCTTGGCTTTCTGGCTGTAAGGACTGAGTTTGGTATGTTACAGTCGTCTGCCGCCCAGACATCATTTTTTGTATCTCCTAAACACAGCAACCTCTAGTCAACACATTAAATAATAATGTGTTAAATATTATTTAACACATTCAATAATCAACTGCTGATCACTCTCTTCCCCACCTTCCACGTAGTCTTAGCACCCACGTTCAACTGTGACTCTTTGTACCTCCGTCCTCACTACCTGATCAATCACCGAACCGTATCAATAGTTACTTAATCGGCCACACCGCTCCACCTGCACAGTCACAATCCCAGTCCTTGCCATCAGCCTCTCCAAGACAAATCACTGCAACAGCTTGTGAATTTGTCTCCCTGCCTTAGTGCTGTTTCCTGGTAAACTACATTTCTTCGAGAAAGATCCTTTAAAGACCATCTCACTATCATGAACCACACTCCTTCCTCTTATCGAAAAGTATCAAGATTTTAGAAGCTCCACATCTGGTTACTGCTTCCCTCGTAGCACCACGTGCACATTCCCCTCTCCATCTGCCAGCTCTGCAGATGCCTGTCAGACTGAGCTGACTGCACTTTTCTAATTCAGCAGGTGGTGACCCGCTCCTCAGTGGAAATGTAGGCAGGGAACTTGAAGGGTTTACATCTCTGCCCACAGAGAATCCGCTGAAATTTTCTGAATGGGCTTGGGGCAACTGGTCCGACTTAAGTTCGAAAGGCAAATGTAAAAGAGATTCAAGGGGGAAAGTCCAAGCAACACAGCTATCAAATGCACTGGCAGTTTCATTTCATGGGCCTTACCTGACAGGAATTATAAATCTAAAAGAAAGTTGATAGGTGCTCTCGGTTACTTTTTTATATTTATTCATTCTTCCACCTAAAGATAAACTCCATGAGTTCTGGGATCTTGTCTCTTCCTCTAGAGCTGTGACTCCAGAACATGGAACTGACAGTGCTGCTCAGTATTTTGAGAGACCAGGAATCTCTTGTGAGTTTCCAGCATTCTGAGCTATTCCATGTCCTTTTACAGTTTGACAGTGTGGAAACAATTCCCAGCTTGCCAATGTAACACAAAATAATAAATCTAAGATGCATATTGATGTACAAAAAAATGAATTAAGAGTTGTTTCACCAGAACGCAAATTTTGCACTTAAATATGGTTAAGATGGTAAAATAAAGAACAAAGACTACAACCCCATGGGATCAAAATCTTAAGGAAAACAATGTGGGTGGGGATGGTTTTAGTGGGAAAAAAATTTTTTGGGGGAAAAAAAGATTTATTTATGCACATAAGAGCTGGAGTACAGGTCAGAGGTGTGAGGATTCACAAGACAGAGTGGGAAACAGAACAGGTGGATCGACTGAAATACACTGAGGGGAGCAGCGGCAGGACTGGAGAGGTGTGTTGCACTATGTGGGTCAGCTCCCTGGCTGGGGATAGAACCTCTGCTGCTGTGACTATGGACAGCTTCATAATGCTGTTCTTTAACCCCCTTTGCCACCAGGGAGAGGCCAGAAAATTTACTGTTTATCAAAATTCTTAGGAGACACCCTACTCTCAAAGAACCAAAGTAATTATAACTAGTCGATTTTACAGAAAATACAATAATTTTATAAAATCCAAAGTTGAAATACTGGGATACCCAATATTGTATAGAAAATCATCCTGCTAAAAGGAAAAAGCCCCTTCCTGCCATAATTTCTGTGCATGTGCATGGTGAGAAATACTATCTCCACAAGTTCAGTTCAAAGCTTCACTGATTCAGAGCAACATTTTAAAAATAGATTCACTGGCCTCTCCCTGGTAGCGCAACGGGTTAAAGCCCCACATTATGAAGCTCTCTGAAGTCACAGCAGCACGTGTTTGATTCCAGGCCAGGGAGCATCACCCACAGGGCACAGCAGACCTCTACTGTCACCCTGCTGCTCCCCTCAGCAGCGCATTTCAGTAGATCTGCCTGTTCTGCTCCCCACTCTGTCTCTGGTGAATCCTCTCACTCAACACACCTCTGGCTGTACCCCAGTTCTGTAAGCATAAATAAATCTTTAAAGGTAAAATAGATTAAGTAAGTACAATACTCAAAAACAGACAGACCTGGCCTCTACAGGTGAGTCAGATTTAAACCTGCATTATCAGCTTTAATGGTCAGGCTGGAGCCTCCCTACCAGATTTAACCAGATCAGCACGGCCTTGAGCAAAACACACTGATTTTAACCATGACCACAGGAACCTGTTTACTGTCAACACAATTATACTGTCTTTAAGAATTCCAACAAGAGAAACAGTCAGCCCTTAAGGACATTTAACTCCACCCCGAAGGCAGAAAAATCTAGACTTAAAAAAAAAGAAAAAACTTTTCTTTTTCCTGCTCTCCCACTAATTAAGGTTTCTGGAGTCATATTCCTTTGAACTTTCATGAAATAGATGACCATACTCGCAGACAAAAAAAAAAAGCAAATATATAAAAATACTTAGTACAGTGGGGACGACATTAGGGAATCCAGGATGTATTAAACACTGATGTGGCCCTGTGGACACAGTTAATCAAACACATTGTCCTCAGTAGCATGGAGCAGAACAGACAACAGACAAGTTTGATCATTCTTTTGATTTCAGATAAACAACAAAAAAATGGTTTTGGTCTTGATTCCAAGGAAACATCTGCTTTAACTTTGTATTTTTCCTAGAGAAACCTTAATAAGGATAGGAAGAGAGGAAAAAACAAGAGGAAGAAGTGAATTAGCGTTAATATTATCAGAGTATGTGGAGGGCCCTGTACTTTTTCCACTTTTCAAGTGTTTTTATATTTAAAAAAAATTAAGCAGCAGCAGTGATAGAAACATTCAAAACCTCCCACTGGTCTGTAAGAACACTAAGATTTCTTAATTTTCTCTATAGATGCTATTATTGTTACCTTATTTCCTTTTGTGATTAACACAAGAACTATTAAAATTAAGAAACACTTCTCCCTTCTTAGATGTTTCCAGGGAAATGGAAATAGCCAAAGAAAAAAACATTTTATTGCTCATCTAAGAAAATTCATAAGCCAGTGAGTGTGTGCTTTAGTCAGAGAATTTTCCTAGTACTTCAAAACCAAGACTTAGATCTCTAAAACTATGAGATTAAATAGTGTCCTTAAGTTTACTTCTCTGAAAAACCTATTTGCAATATAACTACTAAAAACAAGACTCCTGACAAGTGACAGAAGGAAACCACTTGTCGGGTTAATCACAGGCACATAAATACCAGTATATCCTGAGACATTTTTGCATTTTAACATTAGGAATGCCTGCAAACTAGAAGGGCACATTTTAAAAATAATGCAGTAGTTTATGTTTACATCATTTTGTGCCTTTTTCCATCTCAGTTGTAATCCCCATGGGCTTCCCATCACCAAATCACCGGCGTGCCATCACCATAGTCCAGTGCACTTCCCCACTCCCCACTTTTGATCCCATTCCCTCTCCATCCTCGAAAAATGTCTCTGGTATTTAGTTGTTCATTATTATTTTCTCCCCTGGTCCTATATACTCCTGCTGTGAGTGAAACCATCCGGTGTTTTTCCTTTTCTTTCTGGCTTATTTCACTAAACATGATTGAAGGGCACATTTTTAAAAAGAAAGCAAAAGCACTGAAGTTTCCTGAACTAGTTATGCACTTGCAAAATTGATGCAAGTTCCCAATTTACCTAACAACCCCGCCGCCCGCCCACCCCAATCCTTGGCTTATCTACTTTTGTGCCAAACGCTGTCAGGCGTTGGGGTTCATAAAACACAAGAAAATTAGGGTTCTACATTTGACAAATATTAACGTAGACACAAGCAGGAGACCAAGCTAGAGGCGGCTCCTCCAGGACTAACAGTTAAGTGAATGGCTTCAAAACAACACTGGAAAACATCTCTCTTCGCTGAGCATTCTTTCCTCTCACGAACTGCGAACCCTCCCGCAGGTCCACAATCAAAGTGACCAGGTCGTTTGCAATCCCTGCGTTTCGACTTGCATTTTCAATCCTAGTTTTCGGCTCTCGGCTCCATCAAACACAACGAAGAGGCTGGGAAAACAGGAACTGCAGAGACTGGAGCCAGAGAGCCAAGGCATTCAAGGGAGCCGCCCGCGAGCCAGTCCGCTGCGTAAAACCCAGGCAGGAATCACATGAGCGGCGGGGTACATCCCGGGTCACAAGACCCCCTCCAGCCAACCCCCTAGCGCCGGGAGAGTAGGGGAAGGGGCGCTCCTCCCGCACCGGGGCGGCCCCAGGCCAGCGCCCGTCCGGAGCGAGGCCCCCGCCCACCACCCGGCCGGGCGCCACAGATGCCGAGGCCCAAATGCCAGCTTCTCACCTGCTTTTGCACGTCAGCATCGCTGAGGGCCATGGCGCAAGAGAGGCTGGGCCGGAGAGCAAGGGGCTTGAATTCAGCCTCAAGCAGGGAACAGAAGGAGCCGGAGAGGGACAACACCGGGGGTCCGTTTCTTTTGCTTTATAAACCCAGCTTCCGGTTCCTGCCAGGTGACAGCGCACCCAGCCCGGGTGGCGCTCCCAGCCAGTAGGAAGAGAGCAGGCCCTGGAAGTCCCGCCTCCGCCGCAGCTTGCCCCGCCCCCGCCCATCTGGGCGCCTGCGCGGGCGCCCAACCCCTGTCCTTTCTGGAGGTTGACTCGTGACACGGTTCTTGTTCTCGAACAGCCGCTCTTATTCAAGAAGGACTTCCCGTGTCTGAATTAGCGGAGTGGTGTGGATTTCTCCAGGCTTACAGCCCTTGTATTGAGATAAAAGTTTAAGTATTTTCTAAACCCAAACCAGAATATATTATTGTATTTTGCTGACCTTCATGGAAGCAAACTCAACAATAATATGTTCATTATTAGATGTTTAGCTTTAGGGCAATTTTAAATTTACCAAAAAATTGAATAGCATAGAGTCCCCGTGATTCTTTCTCCCTCTCACTGTTTCCCCTATTATTTAACATTTTACACTAATATAGCACATCTGTTTTAATTAGACAGTATTGGTGTATTAACTAAAGTCTATAATTTAGTCGGGTTTCCTTAGTCTTATCCTTTTTCTGTTCCAGGATATTATTAGTACAAAAAACAGTTGTCATGTCTTTAAGTTTCCTTTTGGCTATGACAAATTTTTCAATCTGTAACAGGGTGGTCCTCAGGAAAAGAAGGAAGCAGGATAAAGAGTCTCTAGTTATGAAGAAAAAAAAAAAAGGTTATGGTTTGAGTGTCAGTATTACACATACTACTTCCTTCTTTTTCTGGGGGCCACCCTGTTACAAAACGAGTTGGAAGATCAGGAACTCAGGCCACCCAGCACCATCTATTGTCAATATCGCATGTTTAAGGTGAGCTTTAATTAAGACAGCCCATAATGGGGGGAATGGAGGTTAACACGCTGAAGAAATCGTATTCACATTTCATTTCTAGCTCACTTTTTACAGTAAGTTGAACAAATACAGTTCAGCAGTAAGCATGCCTTTACCACTGTCAGGAGCCCTGGGACTCCTCCTTGCCCTCCTGGACACCTGACCTCGAGTATGTCCCAGTGCTGAGTGTCCTCTTCAGATCGCACTGGCTCCCTGCTCTCCTCCAGATGTGTCCTTGAGCTAAAACATTAACTCAGAGCAGACAGGCCATAAACAATGTGGTGCAGATTACTCACTATACCATACCTAGTGTCCCACCTGATGCTCCCCCTTCCATAGCCCCTATCAAAATTTTCCTTATTTTTGATAACCTTTACAGTTTTGCAGAGTTCTGGTTAGGATTATTGTAGGAAGGCACCTGTATCAAAATTTTCTAATTAATCATGGCTTGTGAGGCTTGAGGAGAAAGACAGAGGCAAAGTGCTATTTTCATGACATCATTTATATATATTTAAAGATTTATTTAGTTGTGCATTCAAGAGCTGGGGTGTAGGCCAGAAGTAAGGGGACTCTTGTGAGAGGATTCACCAGAGACAGAGTGGGGAGCAGAACAGGCAGATCTACCAATACACACTGCTGAGGGGAGCAGTAGGTGAGACAGGAGAGGTCTGCTGCGCCATGTGTGTCCCCTGGCTGGGGATGGAACTGGTGCTGCTGTGGCTGCCAGTGGATTCATAGTGCTGACACTTGCTCCAGCAGGGAGGCTCCCCCTGATATCATATTAAGGTTACGTGCTGTGAACATGACTTTTGACTCTTGATGATGAACTTGACCACCTGGCTGAAGAAGTGTTTGGCAGGTTTCTCTGTAAAGTTCCTTTCCCTCTTGGAAGGCAGTACTGTGTGCATTCCACACTTACGGAGTAAGTAAGCTCTACCTCCCTTTAGAGGGCAGTATCTACATATTTGGAATTCTTTCAAAAGCAAACATCTGTTAACACACATTCTACCTCAGGCACTGTGCTAGGAGCTGCGAGCGACCTGCTCTACTGCTGTCGATTTCCCTTATGGGCGTCATGCCTCTGCTCCGCCTGTCCCCGAGATTTCTAAGTTTCAAGCACCATCTCCTCCATGTGACTCCGTGGTTCTCGTGACACTTTATGTCGCCTGTTGGCAACATCTGAAGCTCAATACTGGTCTGCTCGATACACCCACAGAACACACTCTAAGCAGACAGCAAGTTTCCCAGCCCGGGGGACGGCCACCTCGTGCCCCACACAACTGGCTCCAGCAGCCATCAAGCGTCCCCGGCAACCCAGGAATCACAGACTTGGAGACTCGGGAAAGATCGGGTCCTCCCGCTCAGGGAGGTCGGCTTCCGGGTCACAGGGGGGGCCTCCCGGCCCGCCGGTCTGTGCTTCCGCTCGGAAGAGCGGAGTCGCCCCCTTCCGGCGCGCCGCTGCCCGCCCCGACGCCGGCGCTGACGGCAGCACGCCGGGGGTGACCTCACCCTCCAACATGGCGGCGGCGGTAGATTAGGGCCGCGGGTCGGAGCAGCCACCGCCGCTGGGGGACCCTGTCGGAAACACCTGCCGCCGCCGCCGCCTCTTTCATCTCCTCTGGGGCTGGGGCCAGGGCCAGGTGAGGGGAGTGGGTGACCGGGCAGGAGGCGCTGGGGCCTCAGCAGGCTCCTCAGCCGCTTTTCTCAGGGTAGGAGACTGTGCCGAGCCACCGGCCCCCAGAGGTTCCGACGACGCGTGAGTGAGTGTCAGTGCGTGTGTGACAGTGACTGGGAGCGATGGAGTGGGGCCGGTGATGCTTCGGCCTGGGGTGCTCGAAGTTGAGTCCGTTTCATTAGAACCTGACGTGTCCAGCGTGGACCCAGCGTGAACCCCGCTTGAACAGGGCTTTCCGAGGGGCTCGCCGAGCTTGGGGGACTCGGCCTTTGCTTCCAGAGCGGGAGCCCACAGATACTTTCACATGGGAAGCCCAGGTCCATTGTTCTAGGACCAAGCTGAGAACGTGGGATTCCGAACCCCAGAAAAGGTCCCCATGCGACTCGTTTAGCATGATCATTGACTAGCTGTCAGTCCTCCTGGCGGGTTCTTCTTCCAGATTGTTAGAATGCTTATCCTGCACTCACTGCTGTTTTGACACCCATTCCCCTCCTCATCCCCGCCCCCCAAACCTCTCTTCTAACCTTTGGGGGCGATGCAATTTACAGTTAGATGTTCCCTCCTTTGATTTTTATCCTCTCATTATGCCAAGGCGACAGCAAGTTTCTTTCCCTTACAGTGGACTATGAAGGAGAACTAGACTTTTTGAGATAAGTCTGTAAGCCAGGTTGAAAATGAGGCGATCTGGTCAGTGCTGACACTTTATCTCTTAACCACTTCTGGCAATAGTGTTTGTTTATCCAAAATAGCTATCTCACTGTCTCTATTTATAAAGTTTAAAACTAAGCAGACAGTTCCTCTCCCCTCCCCCCTTTTTTTTTTTTTTTTTTTTTTTTTTTTTTTTTTTGCGTTGCAAAGCAGTCTTTTTGCGAAACTGTCAGTAAGATTTCCCCTGGAGGTTTGGCAAAAACCAGAATGTTGATCTCTGCCCTGACTTGTTGTGTGACCTTGCATGAGTTACCACACCCTTCTAGGTTTTTTTTTAACTCTCCCAGAAAATTAAGCAAATGTTTGTGTGGGTAGCGAACTGTTTATATCTCATATACACCCAGGAAATGTACATTTCACTGTTGTACCCGCAAATTGAAAATATTTAAACCATTAAGTAGTCTTCATTGACAACAGACTAGTAAGGGTCTTGAAAATCCTTTTTCGCTTATCTATTAGTCAGTTTCTATTCTCAGTGTTTTATTCTATTGACAGATTTTCTTAAGGTGAACTACACATAATAGTTGAATGCAGTTGTAAGGTTGATTCCAAGCCGTTTAATAAAAGATGAGTTCATTAGCATATCACTCAATATTTATTAAACACCTACCTTCTGTACTAAATTGTTAGGACAAGTGATTGCATCTGTTTTAAAAAATTTATTTTTCATCTGAAAAAATTTTAAATAGTTGTGCCATCTTGTTTTTTTTTTCATTGTTTTACAAATATTGTGCAAACATTTGTATCAGTCCAAATAAATGGTCACCAAGAGTTCTTAATATATATTACAAAGTGGAAGGGATATTTTCAGAACAGCTGTTTTTTAGTGAAATATAATTAACATCATCATACAGCTCACCAATTGCATGGTTTAGTCACTTTTAAGATATTTGTAGTGTGTGCAGCTATCACCACAATTTTCATTGTCCCAAAATGTAACCCTGTACCCATTAACAGTCACTCTTGATTCTTCTTTTCCCTATATCTCCTTTATAGGCATCCACCGATTTACTGTTGTTTCTAGCTACGTTTCTGGACATTTAATATGAATTAAATCATACATTATGGAGTCTTTTTTGATTGGTTTCCCTTAGCATAATGTTTTTAGGTTTCATTGTAATAGCATGTACCAGTACTTCACCCCTTTTTTATTAGCACATAATATTCCACTATATTTTCTTTAATCATCACTTGATGGGCAGTTAGACATGGTGCTGCTGTATCACATGAAAGTTTTTCTGTGGATTTGTTCTCATACTGAGGAAGTAGAAGAGAGTAGCTGAATTTTGTTTCCCCTTTTACAAGCTCTCATATATATAGGAACTTACTTAACTTGTTTGAAAATCAGACTGTGTGGGGAGAGAATGAGGCAGTCCTCTATGTTATCAGCTAATGGCAGCTGCTGCGTGAAAGCATTGTGGGGCAATTCAATACAAGATAGGACTAGAGAGTTTAAGCATGTTTCAATAGAAAAGGAGTAGCCTGCCTAGAAATTTAATGTCTGCTTAGTTAAAAATGACACTTTGCTCAATTATGTTTCTCACCTGGGTGGGATGAATTTTGCAACTTTACAGTTTTTACTAGGATATTTAGTTTTATTTTTAGAGAAAGTCCTAGAATTCTATATGATCTAATAAAGCATGGGTTAAAATGTTTAGTTATTTGACTTCATGTTAATTTGTGGAACTTTAAAAAAAATTCCCTGATCAATCGATGGATTGAATCTTGAGACTAAAGAGCTGGTAACCAAAAGATCTGTTGATATTTAAAATTCTAGAGTTTTGGTTTGTGATTGAGTTATTTGCAGATTTTAATTGTTCTCTTTATGCAATGGCATTATAACTCTATTAAAGCCTCTTGTTGGGAGTATTCAGTGAATTTTCTTATCTTACAATTTTTTATTTATGAGGGAAGTTGTTCTAAAAACAAGTTTCCTGAAATATTTTAGCTATAACATCACATTATAATGGTTTGTTTTTTGTTTTTATGGAGTTAAAGAGAATAACAGGTATGATAATTCTAAGTTAATATGTCTGAGGTGGGTGGTAGAAATTTCTATTTTAAACAAGCACTTAAGATGACTACTCAAACAGGTTTATGAAACAAGCACAAAAAATTCATGTTGCTGCAAATTTGCTTTCCATTCACAGGAATAGTTGCCACATACCTTCAGGTTATAGTTCATAAGCTGTGCTTAATTTCTGCTGTATGATCAGTGCCAGCATCCTGTGACACGAGATACCAGAGTTTGTACTGGGACTCATCATAGGAATCTGGGTGGTTGGTTGTTTTTTTTTAAAAGATTGATTTATTTATGCATACAGAACTGGGGTACAGGCCAGAGGTGCAGGGGCGGTGAGAGGATTCATGAGAGACAGAGTGGGGAGCAGAACAGGCAGATCAGTGAAGTACACTGCCGAGGGGAGCAGCGGGCCGGTCAGGAGAGGTCTGTGGTGCCATGTGCACAGGTCACCTCCCTGGCCGGGAATCACACTCATGCTGAAGTGGCTTTAGCTCCTTAGTGCTGTGCTTTTAACCTGCTGTACCACCAGGGAGGGCCTGGTTGGTTGTTTTTTAAGCAAAACACTTTTAAAAGGGAAGCTTGCCACATTTTAAAAATGTACCGTATTGGTGTGGGCCTCAGCATTGTCCCCTGCTTCCAGAAAAACCCGGGGTGGTGTTCTCTGATTGTTTGTTTGTTTTTTCTATGTTTTTATACACACACACACACACACATGCATATTTTTTTTACACAGCTGTTCATTTTGGTGTTGTGTTCTATTTCTCTTCTCCAGTGTAATCCCATAAAATTCCCACCGCCGTGTCACCTGTGAACTGTCACCACAGTCTCTTGTGCTTCCCCCTTCCGCCCTGTTTTGATCCCTCTCTCCCCCTTTCCTTCTCAATGTCGATTATATTTACTTTTTATCCTCCTGACAGTTTTCTTCCCCCGCCTTCTCAAAGTTGACAGACCAGCTTCTTTTAGTACTCTTCACTTTCTGGAAGCCCATTCCCTTCTTCCCCACGTCTTCCTGCATTACTGGTGTTAATGTTTTCTACCTCTGCCTTCCTCCCCCTTTTCTCCCTTCCCTCCCTCCAGCACATTACCTGGTGTGCAATAAATATGTGTTGAATAAATGCAATTAAGGGCTAAGAGTTCATAACAGAAGAGGATTTACCTGTCCAAATGATTGAGTTATTAATTAGCTGTATGATTTTGAGCCTGTCTGACCACCTAAACATAGGCTTGAATGAGCTGCTGTGTTGCTGTATAGACCAACACAAGCTAAATTAGAAGTTGGATGATTATTTTATTTTGTAAGTGAGGTAGGTGTAGATCTGGTTTGCTTCCAACTAGAATGCTAAATGCACGGCTAAAGTCTAAAAACTGTATATTAATTTAAGTGAAGTTCATATTATCTCCATTTGTGTGAATCATTGAGAGAAATGATTGAATGTATAAACACCAAATATATGGATATATTAATATTAACATGTCTGTTACAGCCAAGGGCTATATTGCAAAAATAGAATGATGAGTGTACAGGATTGAAGATTATGAAATCCTTGCACTTACAGGTAGACAATTGAGATGTGTAAGAAAATTTGAAGACACTCAAAAAAAATTTGAATGCTTACTGTCTTCTGGTATATGAATTTTTGATGAATATAAGAAATTTGAAAATAACAAACTTGAGAACATCAGATTTTTATTTAAAGAATTATTCAAATATCAATGCTTCCACCAGACAGATTCTTTCACTTTTTAAAGATTAAGTTTTGCCACTAGTTTGCGCTATTCTCTCACCACCCCCACCCCACCCTATTTTTTGGGGAACTTTATTTAATCATTTATTCCTTGCTCTCTATATTTATTTATATCATTGGCTCTTCCTCCACTGAGTGTAAATACGCTTAAGTCTTATTGTGTTTACAGAACAGATCTTTTGTCTCACAAACCTTTTGTCTCTCTCTCCTACTTCTTTCCTTTTCTGCAAATCATATTTTCTTTGAAAGAATAGACTAATATTCATTTTTTCTTACTCTACTCTTTAATTTTTCAACTTTCTGCCATCCATCATTGCCCCTGTCAGGCATAATAGACAGCTACCTGCTGCCCAAATCCAGGCGACTCCTCATTTTCAGACTCCTAGATATGCTGTTAAACTGACACTTTCGTTCACTCCCTTCATGCTGCCATGTCCCCTGACTTCTTGAACATGCTCTTACCTGGTTTTCTTCATTCCTTTTTGGTTGTTCCAATCCAGACCAGAAGGTTTTCTCTGCTGGCTTTTCATCTCTTGACTACCTCTAAAATGTTAGTTTTCCCATGAATTCTGATGTTTCTTTTACTTCTTGACATATTTTAAATATCATTTCTCTCTTAGAGAGACAGATACAAAATTCTCTGGCTCCTGTTCTGGTGGTGGTACTTGGGGTGTGGTTTGAGGAAGCCTTATTTTTTCACTTGAGTCACAGATAACAGAATATTGAGGATTTACCCTGCTTTATTTTCTGTGCTGGAAATAGTGGGTAATGTCTCCTTTTGCATGTATGAAACTATATATTGAGTATGGTTTTTCAAGCTGAATTACTCCTTCAGAATTTTGACAGTCTGCCCACTGTTGGCCGCCACTGTACTTTAATGCTTTATATAATTTTACTGACTTGCATTTGTGCAAAATACAAGTTTGTGTCTGTGCTCTCATTTGTATGCTATGCCAGGCTAGGCATAGCACCTGAGTTTTAAGACTTGTATGTCTAACTACCTAGGTATACCCATGGGGCTAACCAAAAGGTAATTTGAATTCAGTATACCTCCAAGTGAATTTGTTACTCTTCTTCCCCAAAGCAACTCTTCCTATAATTAGCCTAACTTGAGTATTCAGAACAACCTTTTTCCATATAACTGCCCCGATTACTCTTGCTGGGGTTAGCTTACAAATCTTTGAACTCAGTATTTTTCTTGTGTGTCCCCTTCTTTCTGGTGTCCCCGCCCCAGTTTATGCCCTTCTAGATCTCTTGCTTAGGTTTTTCCAGTATTCCCCTAAACGTATGTTCTTGTGTCCAGTCTCTTACCGTCCACACCGCCTCCAGGGGGATTTTTCCGAATGCCATCAGTTGGTGTGCTTCTCTAGCTTGAGATCCCTTATGTCTCCTACTGGTGCTCCAAAGTAGTGTTTAGCTTTGCATCATGATCTAACTTAAGGACTTAATGAAAGAGATGAAATGATTTTACTCTCCAGAAAAATATTCAGACACACATAATTTGCATACAGTTTTAGGTTCACTCATGGAGGTGGCTGAAGTTAACTCCTGGCTTATAGAAAAAAGAAGTCCAGCTTCCTAGCACCCCACAGCATACAGGGCACGTCAGGCGCACACTGGGGCGTTCTGCTGAGCCCTTCCTGTGTGTATGCTCTGATTAAGCCATGTCAAGTTCCTTAGCTTTGTGTTTTTTCATGCTGTTTCAACACACATCCGTGCCTTTCCCCAGACTTTGCATCTAAACTCTCCCTAGCCCTGGCTGGGTCTGTGAATTCCAACCTGTTTATATTCCAAAACTAGCTCAGGTTTTACTTTACAAAGTCTTCGCTGATCTCCACTTCCCTTTCCCTTCCCCCGGGGAGACTTGCCTGCTTCCCCTTCTGCATCGCCTTCCCCCACTCTGGATTCTGACCTGTGTCATAGGACTTGTTCTTATTCATATATTTTTATTTTCCTCTACTTGGTTGGAAACTCCTGAGAGTAGATGATTTGTCTTTGTGCCTACTGCCTATACAGTGTACTTTTTTCTCTGAAGAAATGTGTGTTGAATGAACACACCACCCAAAGTTATTAGAAGACATCTTCTATTTCAGTGTTATAACTAGGTCTTTATGTGAACTTTGCAGAATTAGATTTTTTTTTTCATTTAGTGAAATAAAATTCACACGAAAGTAGTGTGTTACAGTTGTTGAGGAACTTCCTTAGAAGTTCAAAGAAAATTAGGTTCCAGTCTCGGCTTTTGTTACAGCTAGGTCACATTTGCAAGCAACATAAAGTAATTCTAGCTTAAGCCAAAAAGAAACTTATGGGAAAGGCATTGATTAGCTCCAGGATAGCTGGAAAATTAGGTTAGGAAACAGGCAGGGACCAAGGAGACTTGACCGCAGGCTCACCCAGGTAATGAGGAGAGCAGCAGGTGAGACAGGAGAGGTCTGCTGTGCCCTGTGGGTCAGCTCCGGGGCTGGGGGTTGAACTCACACTGAAGTAGCCTTGGCTCACTTGCAGTGCTGCGCTTTAACACTTTGGCCACCAGGGAGGGCTCCAAATTATCTTTATTTTTTATAAAGATGTATTTATGCGTTCAAGAGCTGAGGTGTAGACTAGAGGGGTGGGGGGGAGAGGGAAAGAGGTTTCACCAGACACAGTAGAGAGCAGAACAGGCAGCTTGACAGAAATAATACTGCCGAGAGGAGCAGCGGGAAAACAGGAGGGGTCTGCTCACCTTGTAGGGCAGCTCCCTGGCCTGGCAGCCACAGTGTCTGGGGAAAACTTCGGAATGCGATTGTGGAGACCTCACCTCTTGTGCCACAGGGAAGCCCTGAATTATCTTTAAATTCCTTTCTAGCTCCTGGTTCCTAGATTGGATTTGGTGATTTGGGCCATACATCTATTTTGGAGGTGCCAGGGAACTGGTGAAGAGAAGAAAAAATGTCTGACCAATCATAGCTTTTCTCTTGGGGGCTGGTGGATTTGTTTTTCTTTGTTTATTTTACCAATATTGACACAGTGTGGAATTCTCTGTAGACAGGAAATTGAGTTGGGATGACCGGCAAGCAAGATAAAAAGGCAGATTCTGTTACACCGCTGCTTTTAGGTAATATCCAACCTGAGAAATTATATTAGAAATATGATCTAATATTAGAAATAATAGACCTCAGAAAACTTATTTTACCTCTGTGGGTTTCCCTTTCTTTATTTGTAAATTTAAAATACTGTTTTCTTACTATTAAGTGATAATAATTACTATTATAATAACTTACTATTAAGTGAGTTTTTCAAGAGTAAAACACCTGCCTGGTAAGCATCCAGTTGTGTAACTTTCATTCCTGTGAGGGAAGCTGCAATGCTTTTTTCTTTTAATTGGTGGGTAGTTTTGAAATACCTTTTTGAAGTTTATGGAAACTATTGTTAAAGTTGAACAAAGTAGTCTAAAACCTACTGCTTGATTTATCAGATATTGTGATACAGTTTGGTAATATTCCCTCCTGAAGCTAGAAATGGCAGGGACTTTTCACTATTGAACCAAGATTAGTTATTAATAGCAACCATAAATACATTTTTTTAAAAGGAAAGTATAGATCCATTTGTCTTCTTTTTTAATATTTTTAGCTCCACTCTTATTTTGTGTATTTCAAATTCTACAAGTTCTTTTTTTCCTGTCCTTAACCCTTCTAGGACATTATTCTTAGTTTGCTTATGATAGATCTTAAATTTTGCCAACATTGCCTGTCTTCTTTTCCTCTTAATTATCTGAACCACCTTTTACTTGCTATTTCTTGAGACCTTAAAGTACTCTGTATTGTTGGCTTTTAGTGGAAAACAGTTATTTGCTAATTTTGTAATAAGATATTGTATCTTAGTACCAGTTTCAAACACCTGGTCAGGTGCCTGGTAGATAATGCAGCTACTAAACCCCAGTGAAAAAGTGGGAGTTGTATTGACTAAGTGCACATTGGGATACCTGGTGAGATCCACATTAAAATGGCTTAAATAACACACCAGAGGTGAGTGATCTGGGCTGACAGAACAACTCCTTTCACGTGATTATTTAAGAAACCAGGCTTCTTTGCTGTCCCTACAGTGGTGTCCTACTTTGCATGTCAAAGCCTGCCACAGTCATGTTCTTAACCACAGAAAAGAGTAAAGAAGAATTTGCCAGAAGAGACCCACAAATTGCACCTGTAGCTTCCATTTGTATTTCCGTCTCATACTGATCCAATGGTTCATTGAGCTGTGAAGGAGGCTAGGAAATGTGGTCTGCAGCTCTGTGGGCATGGACCTAGATAATGAGGAGATTCTACTAGGAGAAAAACGGGAATATATACTGGGTTGGGAGTGGGGGCATAGCTAGGGTTTTTGCCACAGAGGCGAAAATAAACCAGGGAGTGATAGGAAATTTGTTTTTGATCTGAAATCTGAATAAACTCCTTTGTAAGGAAATTGAAGTTATGTTTCTAGAAGATTACCGAGAAGTCAAATATTTATTTTAGCAATATTTGAATAATTGAAGTCAATGGGAATTGGTACCGGCATGTAATAAACTTTAAACTGAAAAAATTCTTCTGTGTTTTTAGGTTTTACACATCTGTAAATAGACTTTTCTGGAGCCCTGTCAGCCAACTCAATGGCGTCCTCTACTACTGTGCCTCTAGGATTTCACTATGAAACAAAGTATGTTGTGCTCAGCTACTTGGGACTCCTCTCTCAAGAGAAGCTGCAAGAGCAACACCTTTCCTCACCCCAAGGTATTGTATTTGACTTATAGTGGTTATAGTAAGCAGTAACTGTTACTTCATATATAAAAGTACTTGTATCTGACTATTACTATCTATGGCCATTGGCCATTAGGTTAAATATATATTAGGTTAATATACTTTTAAAGAATCACCTCTTACCTAATCCCTTCCTAGCCCTTGACCTTGTCCCAGAAGCAACTACTTTTCATACTTATTAAGAGCTTGATAAATGCTACTGGTAATGAATGTCATGAGAAAGTGAATGCCATACGTGTAAAACTGTACTAAATACATATAAGCAGAAATCTTTTTTTTTAAGATTTATTTATTTATTCATACAGAACTGGGGTACAGGCCAGAGATGCAGAGGGTGAGAGGATTCACCAGACACAGAGTGGGGAGCAGAACAGGCAGATCAACGAAGTACACTGCTGAGGGGAGCAGTGGGCGGGCCAGGAGAGATCTGCCTCTCCATGTGGTCATCTCCGGGGCAGGCAGGGATCGAACTCATGCGGAAGTGGCTCCCAGTTTCTCAGTGCCGTGCTTTAACCCGCTGCGCCACCAGGGAGGGCCAAGCAGAAATCTTTTAAAGAGATTGCATACTTACCAAGGCATACATTAGAATTGTGTAATTATTTTAACACATGGAATGCAATTAAGGTCTTTGAATTACCTTTGGTCAAGGGTATTAGATTTAAACAATGGACTTGCCTAAGTGATATGATAGTTTTTAGCATAATTCTTTGTCTTGTGAAATTTCATATATTCTTCTCTAAAATGTTTGTCAAAGCAAGCTTAAACTAGTTTTTTGAGTTTTCATTAAGTTGTGACATATCATCTTAAATATTCTCATCCATAGATTTCTACCTCAGCAGTGGAGGTAGCTCTTATCTGCTGCTATCCCAGCTCCAAGAAAAGATAGTGTTGTGAATTCAGAAATGGTGGAATCTGTTAGCATTTGTGTTAGGAGGCAATGGCAGAAGGTGCTGTAACACCTAACACAAGGAACATAGTTTCCAAATCAAGCATCTGAAGTTAGCCATCCACTCGGGGAAATGTCCAGCCCAACAGTGTTGAGCCAAAGAGGGCCACTGATGCCTGAAAGCTGCCAAGGTCTGAGGCGCCTCCTGGTAGGAACCCATAGGAAAGGACAAGGGCTCACCACATGTGGGACAGAGGAGCAAAATCAAAATCAAGATAAAAGCTGCCATTGTCAACCTCCCCACGGGTCTGTCACCCACATCTGTTTCAACCAGTCCAGGATTTCCTGGACCACACCCTGTTACACACCTGAGTAGTGTTGACAGTGTAATACATGAATGATCAGCATACCTGAGGTAGGAATTGTGTCTCTATCTGTATTGTGTTAGTCTAGGAAGCAAGTTCTGGGAATTAAGCTTATGAAACACATGCAGTATTTATATTTCAAACTCCTAGAACTCTACAGGTGCCAAAAGTAGACATGAAGACTCAGAAAATTAGAGTAAGAAAATGTATTGCCCAGCAAGCACCATGAGAGTTACCATGGTAACCCCCAAGTATCATAAGTAATATAATGCAAATAGTTGATGGTTTTGTGTAGTGGGTTGTAACAGCTGAGGGCCCCAGTACTAAGGGCTTAGTATCCTGTAGCAGGCAGTGAGCAAACCAGTTATCTTCTCCCAGGAAGCGAGCAGACTTAATTGCCTTCATGACTAACTGTAGAAATGACTGAATGTTAGAAGACGGGCCTCTGGTTTGTCATATTCACCGAGGACATGCAGGAATGCTTGAGGCTCATAGCAAGCTACTGTTCTCAACAATCCAGCCCTCAAGACTAGATGCAGTGCAGTTCATAAGCTCAATTAAGGCTATTGTGAGCAGAATCCAAGTTAGCAGGATGAGGCCATTCTGTGTGTGAATCTTAGCCATCCATCTCAGGGCCCCAGATTCAGGCAAGTGAATAAATCTCAGGCGGAGGAGCGGTAGGTATTTTTTTAGACAGCTACTTAGTTTCCCTTTTTTAGCATGTATGGATTGTTCTTACCAACCGATAGTGTTCATCCAACTCAATAGGAGGCTTGACAGTCATACATCCTTCTCCCTAATCCACCAGCCTATGTGCCAAGACCAGCCTATTACATTGTGATGAAAGCAGAAGCCCTCAGAGATGCTTTCCTCAAGAGTTTATGCCATCTCATTGAATGCTGTAGCTAGAGGTAAGGATAGATTCCTGATTACCTGTGGCATAAACTCCAATACCAGATCTCAGCACTTGACCCGCTGTAGGCACCAAGCGTCATTGTATCCTGCATAGTGCAGCCAGTTCTTTGCCTCCGGAACCAGCAAGAGAAAGAAGCCCAGGGGCACTGTCATTGCCCTTAGGGATACTATCCAGAAACGGGCTGGCAAACAGTAGGCCTTGTACTTTCAGGTTTAATTCACTAAGGAACATCTTCAAGTCTGCAGCAAAAGCCAATTCTCAAAAGTAATCATTATTTGATCATATTGGCTGAATGTTCTTTTTTAGAAAAATTTCATTTTCATTCTTATTGAGTTCAAAAGTTGCAATGAAACTACCATTTTTTAGCCACTGAATTCCTTTGTGATAGGTATATCAGGACATTCAAGTTCTTTTTCTGACAAAAGCTCTTGGAACTGACAGCGACTAAGTTTATGATAGCAAATGCTTACTCTTTGAAACTCCCGATTCATTAATACACAGTAAATCCAAGTATCTTCACAGTACCTACTGATGAATATTATAATGAATAAACCATAATTGTAAATGCCTTATTCTTTTACAGTCTTTAAATTTCTCCAACTAATAAAGTTTTTCTGCTGTACAGATTTTTGCCACATCACTAACACATCTTAGCAGATTCTACTTCGAGTTAGAGTAAATGAGTGCTTTCTCAATGTCTTTAAAAATGTTCTCACCTGTAATTATTTTGTGCAGACTGTCACTTCAAACATGGCATTGATTCCTTGAATAAGCAACAGCTGAGCAGTTTCAGACATCTGTCATTGAGTCAAGAGCCAAGGAAAACCACTCAAAATTGTTTGCTTTGTATTTCAATTGACTATTGATATTCTTTCCATTGTCCGCAACTCATTGATTGAGCATCTGTTCTCTCCAAAACACTAATAGTCCTAACCATTTATTTTTTTTCTGGACTCATTTCTTCAGTTGCTGCAAGTGAATATGATTTTCGTAACTCAACATCAGTAATGGCGTTCCTTGATAGAGCCATTTAGAAACTTACTTGCTCGCAGCCTCATTTTCACTTTTATTTTTATGACAAAATTCTATGATGAGATGTTTCATTTTAAATTTCTCTTGACTTTTGCTTTCCTGTGATTTTTGGAATATTGTGATGAGTGCTTTATAGTGTGATAATGTTAATGCGTATAGTGTCCTACTAACACAACTATAATGTCACTGCATAATAAATACATACTTTGCCATCTAACTTGACAATAATTTCTACTCCATTGTACCTTAAAAAGCAGGATATTCAAAGTCCACTCTTGTTTTGACGCAATGGGTATGCATAGGTGAAATAATGGGCATGCATATTGTGCTATGGTGATATGTGCGGTAGTTGAAGTGCGTGTGGCTGTGAGGGTGGCCCTGCGCTGGGCAGTGTGCTGAGCAGCCAGGAAGCCCTGCGCACCGTAGTCTGCTAGCCACGCCTGCCGCTGGTGCCCAGTCAGCCTTAGGTCATCTGAATGAATGAGAATGACTGCTGGTGGGGGCTGAATTTCCTGTATTTTAGGTTACAAAATATTAATCTTTTCCCCTTTTATCTTGAAGTTTACATTACAAAAATGTAATGTAGTCATTGACTATACCAGTCAAGAGCTGGGTACAGGCCAGAGGTGTGGGGAATAGGGATGAGAGGATTCGCCAGAGAGCAGAACAGGCAGATGTACTGAAATACACCTCTGAGGGGAGTAGTGGGCAAGACAGGGGAGGTCTGCTGTGCCATGTGGGTCAGCTCCCTGGCCAGGGATTGAACTCGTGCTGCTGTGACTGGTAATAGCTTGATAGTGCTGAGACTTTTACCCCTGTACCACCAGGGAGGCCCCTTTCTCATCATTATTAAGAAATATATTCCATTATACACAAAACTAAATGCTATATATATATATTTGTTTTTGGTGTGCTACAAAATCTGTTTCCCTTGTCACTCCATTCTCTAATCATATTTTTTTTAAATAAGAAAAAATCCTGTCACCAGAACTATGGACTAATAACATTTTTCTCTAAACATTTTTATTAGTACATATAAATTTGGATTTATGGTTTACAAAAATAGGACTATATATATGCCATTTTGCAATGTCTTAAAAATTGCCAGTATATTTGAACACCTATCCATGTCAATACGTATCTGCAGTCTCCTACTCTAGGACATTTAGGACAGAGAACTAGTGTTTGCTGGTAAAAGGTCATTAGCCTTCTTTGGTATAGGAACATAATGATCCTCCAACTAACCTACAAATTCCTTAAAACTTTCATTTCTGATTTCATTTTCATTTACTTTTCCAAAATCTGACTAGTAAAAGCCTGGTAGGTTTAGAAAAACACTATTTAGTGGAACATTTCATAATGTTGAAAATATCCTTATCTGTTTGTCCAGTATTGCAATCACAAATCACCCATGGTGGTTGATTTCTTGAAGTGGGTCTGGTGTGATGAAAGCACTGAAGTTTTAAAATAGCTGCATGTGGCTAGTAAGTACAATATTAGATACATAAATCTAGAAGTCAGTTTTATTTTTATCTTCTCCTTTAAGCCAACCCCTATTTTTATTGTGATTTGTTAACAGTACTACCTGCTACCCTGTCTTGAAATCTGTCATGTTGAGCTCTTATCTCTGCTTCCTGCCTTCTTTCTTTGTCAGCTATTACCAGTTACCCCAATTTGTGACTGTTCTCATATTGTTATAGAGTATAGTTTCTCATTATTGCAAATGTGTCCCAATTCTTCATTTGTGTCTTCTCCATCATATATTTCACATGCT